CAACAAGTTCTTCAATATATGGCTTCCACCTGAGTTCAAGGCACAGGCTGCAATTATAGCCATGTCACAGATGGCAGTAAGTGGGACAGGGGAGACCCAGGGAGAGTGGCTTTACCTTAAGAGAATACTTTACATTATTTTGACTTCTTTCCAATGAACTGCAATTATCCATTTAAAGAAAACTAAAGTCAATAGAGATTGTGAAGTGTGGTCCCTTGCTAGAAACCTATATACTAAGCAAAATATGGATGTTCCAATATTAGCTAAAGGAAAGGAGAAAGGAGAATTGTTTAGTCTTCTTGTAACAGTAGAAAACATGGTTAGAGAGTTAAACTAAAGCAGGACTATGCAGGATTTAAAAATGAGTACTGAATCCTAAATTTATTATTTAATAGAGTATAAAATATTTCTGTTGAAATACAGTATTCAATAGAAAATAGAAATAACAGTTAAAATAAAAATCTGAGTTATGCAAAATTTTAAAAAGAAATGTTGAGTTTACTAATTTCTAATTAACTAATTTTGTTGTCCTTTCTTAAGACAAATTTTTAAAAATCCAAGATATATAAAATCTTTTCCAAAGTAAATTCTAACATAATGCAGCTGTCTGTATGTATACATTGCTAGCCTTTTTATTCTGTGCTTTATGCTTATTCCAGTGGGAGTTGAGGATAGAAAACACATTTGTATCAAGTGCATCTTTTAATTTCATAGAATGTGAATGGTCACTGCCCATAAGTAGTGTTCTTTAGAAGCAGAAGCTGAGAGAAGGATTCAGCTGTAAATGATTTATTGAAGAAATGTTTTCAGGAAAAAACTATAAGGAAGTTGTGTGATTGAACAAATAAAGGGAAAACCCTGGGTGAAGATGTGTTCTTGGCAAAGTATCACCTTGACTTGGTCTTCAGGGACAGTTAGTCACACAATTGCTTCACCTCAAGACCAGCAGGTCTGTCTCTTGTACCTTTGCATCAGCCACCCCTTGAGAGTGGGGAGGGTCTGTCATAAGGCTCTTATCCACAAGCCCAGGATCATTCTCAATCTGCCCCACTGAAGGCCATTAGCTGTTGAGGGGTTGGGAGGGGGCAGATAGGGTAAAGTTGCACACACACAAAAAAAAAGATATTTTTACTGTAGAAAAGAACATCCACCATAGTATACTCCTAGTTCCTGTTCAGATCCACTTGGTTTTTTATTATGGGTAGTCCCCCAAGTTTTTCTAAGATTCTATGAACATAACCCCTGGAGAAACTTAAAGGAAAAGAGTTATTATGAGAAAGTATAACTGCCTTGCTGCATTGAGTCCTCAAACTGAAAGCAAATTTTCTCCCACCTTGTCCCCTCTTCTGGATTTCCCTCTCCCTTGGCTCATGCTGTTGCTAGAAGCTGTGCCTGTGGACTCGGCTAGTCTCAGAACCAAATCAGTCCCTGTAGCTGTAGTTTGTTCCACTAACTCACCTCTTACAAATTGCCCCAAGATATGACAAAGAAAAGGTGTGCTTCAATAATAATAACTTAAGTTGTGAAGCAAGGAGCTCACTGTGGTGACTCTGTTCTGGTTGTCACCCAGCATTTGTCAGACAACGGTTGCTGTACTTTCCCATTTACAACCAAACCAGGTGCGGACATATTGAGCATCCTAGTGGATTATTTGAGTGCTAAACACAATTCTCCTATTCCCACTGTGTGGTAGCTACACTGCTTCCTCATGATGATCCAGCTTAATCATCTCCAGGAGGATGATTCATTTCTGTCTGCTAGACTACTGGCACAAGATGTCCAAAGTGACCAGGCAGAAATTACACATTCCAGTCTGGTCATACTCCTACCAGCCCCCTGGTGGGAGTTTTCCTCCTCAGGAACTAGAACTCCAAGACACACAGAACATGAAGTCATGGAAATGAAACTACAGAATGAGAGTGATGGTGAATAGGTCTGCTCCTATATCCATTCCTTCATTCCTGAACTTAACTATACTATACTTTGGAGACATGGCACCAGGTACTAGCTTTCTATTTAAAGAGTCCACTATATCTTCAAGCAGGAGCCTCAATTTCATCTTGCAATAGGTCTTTTCACTAGATAGTGGGATAAGTTGAAGGACCAGTGACTCTCATGGTCATATGTTCATCACCACACTTCCTTTACCAGAAAGTGGCTCCTTTTATCTAAAAAAATATATATTATATGCAGTAACATGTCAATGAGTCACTCTGTGATGGCCAAGACTATGTGGGCAGAGAAGGTAAATGAATATTTTCAATATATGTCAGGACTGATCTGGATGAATCACTGCCCTTTTCAGGATGGAAGTGTCCAATATAATCAATTTCACACTAAGTGACAAGAAAATGCTATTTCTGGGATTTACAAATGATTTCTGTTACTGTCAGGTCAGATATTCAGCAGCAACAGTAAATTGAACCGACTAGAGGAGAAAAGGCCCATGCATGCTTCCATTTTGTTCCTATGGCTACTGCATTCGTGAGCCCTACACATCAGCAGTGGGGTAGTGAGAAGAAAGGTTTGGTAACATCTGGTAATACCTGGAACTGGCTGGATCATACTGTCCATTTGGTTGTTTAGCATCTCTTCTACATTGGATACTCTCTGATTGTACATTAAAATACAATGCAAATTCTCTTTGCTCACTCTGGATCATAGCTATATTCACATGCCTCTTTCCTTAGCAGTTACAAACCATAATCTTCCTAGGCTGTTATTTCAAGTTGTATGGCCAACTTGTCCTATGCTGTTCATCACTGCTGAATAGTCTGTCACATCCTTACCTTTGGCTGCTTACTACTTTATCCACATACAAAAATAATAGATGACAAGTACATTGTCCAAAATTCTGCCAATTGGAGGCATTAGCCAATGTTTTCAGGACCCCCTTCCCTAAAGAGGGCTACAATGTATCAGGAGTTCACAGGCTTCTACCAATACATGAGTCAACCCTTTCATGATCCACGCTTGGATTTTTCCCTCTTTGTTACCTAGAAGAAAACCTATCATGAAACTACATAAATAAGCAGATGGAAAGGTATCAGTGGAACAGTGTCCAGTGACATAGGGACAGGAGACACTTATTTATAAGCTCTCAGCATGAGGCCAATCCCAGATGTACCACTCTCATTGTACAACAAATTGTTACTGGACACACCTGAACTTATTTGGTGGATTTGTCAGTACCAGTTAATGATCAATAGATATGACAACATGATCACATGAATGACCAAAGATAAACATTGTCTTCTGGAGTCCAACATAAAATCAGAAACTGTTGTTTGGATTATTTTCTTTAGAGGGTGTACCTTATTACAGAACCTTAGGTGTGTACATTGGGTTTTTATTCAATGGCTTTCCAGAAACTCCACTTGACACAGATGCCATAGTGTATCAAAGTCTGCCAGGATATATGGGCCAAATGTAATGGTGGTTTTTACCTCAGCTTTACCCTGCAAACCCGTTCCTTACTCTGGGCCCCATTCAAAATGTTTCATATCAAGCGATAATTGTTTCCGAGCAATACTTTGGCCTGCAAAGCCCAACGAAGTCTATCAATCACTGTGCTTCCTTCTTAGCAATAAGAATCATAAAGTAAAGCTGGAGTTGTATCTCAGTGGTAGAGCACTTGCCTAGCATGTGTTAGGCACTGGGTTCAAATCTCTGAAACACATTAAACAAACAAACAAATAAATATGACCATCTACAACTAAAAATATATTTTTTAAAAATCACACAGTACAATAACTCACCCTTTGTTATGGACAAGATGTCCAAGTGAGTTCCAGATGCCCACACCTCTAGGAACTTCAAAGGTAGTAGACTTCAAAAATTTTATATGATTGTTTTCCATCCTCTGAACTGTAGGCAGCCAGAATGCTTGCCAGTTGTCCAGTTAACACCATGTCATCAATATAATGGGCCAATGTTAGGTTTTGCCAAGTGTCAATATATTTCAGTTCCTTTCAGGCTATATAATGATACTAAGAAGAATTGATTTTAAAGCCCTAGTTTTGAAAAAAAAAATGCTAAAATTTTAATTGAGGAAAATAATTCTTCTCAAGCATTTTTAAAAAAAATGTTAAAATAAAATTTGAGCTGGGCATGGTGGTACATGCTGATAGTCCTGTTTACTTAATGGGCTGAGGCAGGAGAATCACTTGAGCCCAGGAGTTTGAGGCTAGTCTTGACAACATAGTGAGACGGCATCTAAAAACAAATTGATAGTAATTATTTAAGGAAAAAAAATACTTAAATATATATTTAAGTAATATCTTCCTTTAATGATTTTTACTTTCTTCTTTTTAAAACAAAATTTCCAAGTAGTGTAGATGGAGATTTAGCAAAGTAATTATTGAGAGTTTAAATGGAATAGAGATTAATTTTTGTATACTTTAATTGAACTTTGGAACTTGAATTGTAATAAGCATTTCTAGATAGATCTTCAGTTTTTAATTGGATAAACATATTCTGTGTTGGAATAGAATGCTGAGAAGTTTGATATTAGCAAAATGGTCAAAGGAATTGTAATTAAAAACAATTCATTTGACTGGAACTATCAAGAAATTTTTGTCAAAGAAAATCCCTTTGAATGGGAAACAACTGAAAATATTTATATTTGGCCTCTAATATTTAGATGTTTCCATTAGAATTGAAAATGAGCTGTGAAACTATGACAAAAGTCTAGTTAAGGTTTCTAATAGGCAGCTGTAAAACAAAACCCCCTGAATAGAGTAGTATCTCAGGACTTAGTACCCAGCCGAACATCAGGTGATGACATTAGAACTATCTGATGCTGAGCTGCAGGCTTGAGGTGACAGAATACGCCAATCCCTTTGTAAGAAAAGGATTTGGAAATCAGAGAACCAGAGTAGGATCTAATGCCTGGCTCTAGGGGATCAGACAAGAATTTGATCTCACCTTTTGAAGGATTGTTAGGGAATAGAGACAGGCCTGCAACACTCAGTAGGATTTACTATTCTTCCTTTTTGCAGAATCCATGTGATGATAAACGACATAAGGACATCTGGTCTAGGGAGAAAACTTGTGACCACTTACCAAAATTCCTTGTGATTGGGCCTCAAAAAACAGGTAAGCACAGTCAATTGTGCTACTTGCTTTATTATTATTATTATTATGCAAACTATTTTTGTATGGCATCATGGGACCAGGTTTTGCTTTGTGAAATTTTTTGACATCCATGCAAATTCATTATTGAATTGCTTTTCTTCCCCATGAAGTCCCTATATGCCAGGAACCTCATGAAGACCTTAATGTTGCCATTAGATTTTAAAGCTGTTTCAAGGTACACGCCCAATTTTTGAAGATTTTGAATTTATGTGTCACCTGACTTTTAATTTTTACTCTTTATATCTTTGCTAATTAATTCCTGAATTAAGGTATGAAAAAGTGATTTGAACAGACTTAAGCTATTTTATGCTGCACATGAGCTTTGAATTGATTTTTGTCCAGAGCCACTGCCATGGTTGCTTTCAAATATCTTACATGTGTGATTTATAAAAATAATCAATTAGCACTAATATGCTTTATTTTCTGATAAACCTGAGTTTTACCAGCCATTTTTTCCTTGGTATTTTCTCATGCATTAAAGGACAACTGTAATAGAACATGGTAAAATAGAGTGCAAGTATTTCACCAATAAGATGACACTTTCAATTAGAATATTTTATACTTTCTTCAGTATGTGACAGGTTTATACACTTTGCTCATGTCCTGATTAATTAAAGTTTTTATTGAGTTGCTGTATTTTGAATTCACTACTTTGACTGAAAGCATTTTCATCAGTGAATGCACAAACCATAATCCAAAACAAACAGGCACAGTAGTAAATAAGCCTGACCCCGATGAAGATATTTGTAATACAAGCAAGTAGATCATTTTAAAGGTTGTGGGCAAAATTTCCAGACTATTAGATATTGGTTGTTGAAATCTTTCCTTCCTCTAGGAATATAAATTGCATTACCACAGTAAGTTAACACATGTGCAGGGAGGGGGAAAAAAGCAGAATGTATTTTCAGATAGATCATTTTGTGTTGTTGTTGTTGTTGTTTAAAATGTGCATTAATTTTCTACCAAACCCCTTACATAAGTGCTAACTCTGGAATGACTACTAAAGAAATAAAACCTTCCTATATTGTAAAATCATGTTAAAAATTTAATTTAAAGGCATGTCCTCTGTCATCTGTCATTGAATATTATTGCTTCTTAGTTCTCCTAGAAAATTACAGGTTAGTAATGATAAATATGTTTTTCCTCCATGCTCTTTGTATTTATAAAGACAGTAAGTTATGCCTTTAGATTTTATATTTGACCTACCAGTATGGCAGTGATAAAGATTTTTGCTGGTTTTGGCTTAACCAAGACAAACAAGTAAGATGTTCAAACAAAGAATTTGGATGATAATATTTTATGTACTATGAAAATATTATTCCAATATTAAAATGGTTGTAATAATTCCTAAAAACCCAATCAGAGAAGGCTAAAATCATATTTTGTTCTGTATTATTTTCATTTGCACAGCTTCCTCTGCTGTCAGAGACTGTAAATTCCCTAGAGGGGAGTCACAGATAAAGCCTAACAATCTGGCCTCAAATGCACTTGCCTTATAACAATTTAAACATGGTACATACATCCCTTACAATAATGTAAGATACCAAAGAGGTCCTCAAAGTCTTATTTTCTCTGTTGTTGTGGGAGAATGGAAGGACAGATGTGACATCCCACCTTGCCATTGCCAAATCTTATGAGGGATTTTCATTGGTTAGAAGTAGGTCAAGGAATGAGGGCAAAGAGAAGACAAATAATCAGAGATGACAGTAGCCATGGACTTAAGATACACAAAGCTCAAATTGTGGCCCTTCTCTATTCCTTCAGACAGCAATGAATACTTCATCATTCAGAGTCAAATTTTAGTATTGCCATGAAAAAGAGAATTTCTAATAGGGTCAACTTTAGTGCAATAACTCCAAGACCATAATTTGTTGCCCATAAATCTTCCAGAAGATCAGCTTTCCCATTGTCAATATTAATTTCTCATGATTTGGCTGTCTTACTCTGGTTTATTAAAACTAAAGAGGAGTTGATTATATATAAGTAGAGTTTCTCTTAGAGTATACAAACTCTAAAGCTTTTTCTTCTTCTTTCACAAGATATATCAAAGAAATTAGATAAGAATGAGTGACAAGGATAATGAAACCACAGGTGATAATAAAAATGTATACATTTTGAGGTTGTAAGCCCAGATTTTAGAGCTGATTCTGTGACTATGAAACCACGTGTCTCTTGTCCCTTGTTGAGAGAACTTTCCCTCTCCTTTCTGTCAGAGGACTCCTGATGTTCTCTAACTCCTGATGGAATGAATCTATAGGGTTCAGAAAACAAAGGCTTTGACTCTCTGTATCCCAGGGGAGATCTGGATTCAATTCCACAAGCATCCCAGTGATTAAACACTTCTTCATATCACTGAGGGACATTATAAAATATCTATTAATTCCGGGCACAGTTGTGCATGCCCGTAATCCCAGTGACTCAGGCAGCTAAGACAAAGGGATTGCAAGTTCAATTCTAGCCTGGGCAATTCAGTGAGACCCAGTCTCAAAAGGAAAAATAAAAATGACTGGAGATGTAACAGTTACTGAACACCCCTGGGTTCAATTGTCAGTACTAAATATAAAAATAAAACAAAATATATTATTGACAGTTTAGCAATAATTTGGAAATCATCCTGTATCTAAACCCTAGGTTCAACCACATTCAAAACCTTAGCAATATTAAATTTTTTTCTTAGCTGTCCTGTAGTTCTGAAATCTCTTTCTTTCTCTTTCCTTCTTCATTCTCATAATGAGTTAAAGATTTGAAGGTAATTCTCAACTTAAAAAGACAGTTCTGCATTCTGTGAACACTTTCAGCTTTTGACTATGTCTAATTCACTTTTTCTCTGAAACACTTTTGCTCCTCCTCTCACATTGTATCCTTTTGAACTCCTGTTATTTTCAGGAACAAATCAGATCAGTTCTTCAAGACTCCTCTCATCCCTCATGACTTTTAATCTTACACTGCGTTTAAGATACTTCTTTGGGTGGTCTTAAATTCTCTATTTTGGGTGTTTTTTTTTTTAGATGAACAGAATAATTTTTGTTTTGTTTTGATTTGGTTTTGGGTACTGGGGATTCAACTCAGGGGCACTCAACCATTGAGCCACATCCCCAGAATTATTTTGTATTTTATTTAGACACAGAGTCTCATTGAATTGCTTAGAGCCTTGCTTTTCCTGAGGCAGGCTTTGAACTCGTGATCCTCCTGCCTCAGCCTCCTGAGCTGCTGTGATTACAGGTGTGCACCACGGCAAATAGCAGATGGACAGAATACTTTTATTTTATTTATTTATTTTTATGTGGTGCTACTAAGGATCGAACCCAATGCTTCACAAGTGCTATGCCACTGAGCTATATCCCCAGCCCCAAAGTCTCTAATTTTTAACCAATTTTCTCTCTTTCAGTTTTCTTTTAAGTTTGTTTGACTTGATTCTATAATTATTATTTCTTAAAAGTCTTTTCAATTAGTAATTAGCCTCCATAAGGGAATATCTTATTTTTTTCCATCCTATTAAACTGAGAGCCACCCATTATAGATGTTTTAATGTGTCTGTTGTATCTTGTCTACTGTGTAAAGTGATAGTCTCACTAATTCTTAGAGCACAGTAGCCTTTGCTCACAAAAGTTTGAATTGTATTAGACCAAAATGCCACTTATCTGATGACCTCTGCTTCCATATCTCCCAACTGCAATGATTATTATTCTGCCAGCCCACATATCATCTCCAGTTCTCCCAGGTCTGAGACATCTGAAAACCCTACTTTATTCTAATGTGTCATAAAAGTTGTGAAACTTTTCAAGAAGGGAATCCTTGATTTATATGAGCTATGATGACCCAGTCACTTCATGAGTCCTTTCTGCTATTTCTCCCAGTCTCTGGCCTGTCATTGATAGAAATAAGCTTCATGGATCATATCTGAGATGTCTATATGTGGACACTAAATTGGTTCCACTGGCTAGTCTGTTCTGCCTTGAATATCAGTCATCAGATTTGGTTGCCCTGTCCTTTTGGGAGAGAACATTCAAATGGCCATCTTTCTAGAATTCTGAGCTGCTCTTTCAATCTTGTTGAGTAACACTTAGTTTTCAAGGAAAAACTTTAGAATTACTTCCTTTTGGAAACCCTCACTGACTTCCCAGAACTTAAATCATCCATTCTTCTCAAATGTTGTAAGAGCACACTAGTTGTCTCTTATTATAATATCTTCCCCACTATATTAAAATTTCCTTGACCCAAGTCCTTGCATGGACTTTAAATTCATCAAGGGTAGTATACTTGTTTTTCTTATCAAGAGTTATCACCAACCATTACTTTAGGGTCATATACAGAATAATACAGCAACATCCGTTGAATAGTTAGATTTTACCTAATCTGCATTTTAATGGCAGTTCATGACCCATCAGTTTCAGGTACTGTGTCTGATGCTAGAGATAAAGGTAGAAGCACCCCATGCCCTTGATGCTCGAGGAGGGAAATTTAACTGCATTATTCCTGAAGTTCTACTTTGGGTGGATTATCAGTCTGTTCTAATTTTGCTGTGTACTCATATTAAATCAGATGTTTAAGTAAAAAGAATCACAGAGAGTGATAAAGACACACTTGAATTGTTACTACATGAAAAATACCTAAGAGATGTCAAGGACATCATTTTGACAACGGAAAGAGTTGGTCTTCTGAATATTACTTTTTGAGCAAAGGAAAATACTATAGTGACAATTTTTCTTTCATTTTTATTTCATATAACCTTTACCTTCTTTTTTTTTTGTAATAGGAACAACTGCACTTTATTTATTTCTTCTTATGCACCCTTCCATCATCAGCAATCTCCCTAGCCCCAAAACATTTGAAGAAGTTCAATTTTTTAATGGAAACAATTATCACAAGGGAATTGACTGGTAAGAAAAATAACAAAAAATAAACTCCATTATGAACACATGCTCCATCACTGCAGAGCAATTATAGATGTATGCATGGCATCTGCATAATTACAGAATAAATTTGTTATGCTCAATTCTACCACAGTGAATTAGAAATTAATTTATAATGATGATATGTTTAATCAGTGTTGCCTATAATTTGATTTGGACAGTGCAATAATGATAATATTTTTCTGGTAAGTTAATATGATTGAATAAAAAACATTATGTGATATTTTTCATCAGAATTATTCATAAGGATATTTAAAATTCTCTTTAAGCCTACTATTATTTTACAGTGCCTGAATTTTTTTATTAAACGCATTACTTTGTCTTCACAATGATGCTTGAGGAAACAAATAAATCAGTACGTTGCTTTATTTTGTACTATGTGACATGTATCTTCATTAACCCCATAGACTGTATATACTGTATTACAATATAAGCTGATGTTTGTCATGCAAATAATGAGAGCATTTCCCAAACCATATCAACTCTAATAACACACATGCATGAAAAAATATTAATTGGTACTTGATAAATTATAAGTAATTTTAATTATCATAAAATTTTTCATAAACTAAAAAAGAATAAACTTGGTATTGGAGATGATATTCACTCTGGTGAGTTTTCCCTAGCTCTATCCCAGTTTGCCAAGACAATATTGTCCTAAATTTGATTTTTAATTCTCAGGTATATAAGGCCAATCTTACCTGAGTAAATTTCCCTCAATTTTGTGGGTCATCATCATGCATGAACTTGTCCTGAGTGAAAGACCCATTCCTTTTAGATGCAGGATTTAGGATTAATGTCAGTCAAGAGCAATGCCAGTGAGTATATCTGGTTTTCCATCATGAGCAGAGATGTGACCATTTTATGTCTAGGATATTACTACCCTACCTTAATTTTAAAAGACTAAGTATTGAAATTACATGCATATTATTAAAAGCAGAACAGCACTTTTCTCTTATCTGTGAGCTCAAATGGAACACAAATTGTTAAGCAGGAATATAGATGAGATTCTTCAACACTCCACATTTGGGAAACATAATAACAAATGTCAAAGAGGAAAATAAGTGTCTTATATGAATTCTTAATTGCTCTCATTATTTATTTCTAGAACATTTGGGGGTTAGAGAAGTGATGAGCTGTAAGGAGGGTTACACACATAATTAAAGCCTTGTACTGAATTAACCTCAAAACATATTGATTCCATAATCTACACACAGAGGAACGTTCCGACAGCATATGGAGAAATGAACCTACCGAGGCACCACAGGATCAACTGGCAGGAAATATCCCCTTAATTACTCTAGATAGACTATAATGTGCTCACATTGCTACATATACTACAAATTATGCAGCAGCTAAAAAGGAGAACAGCCATCCCTTAATCTGTTTAGTATTTTATAGCTATTTTGACTTGCACATTTTTGTATCTTGTGAACTTCAATCTCACCTTAAAAATTTCTTTCACATAATTTGCAAACACACATTAACTATATTAAAATATTAGCAAAGCAAGATGGTATAATTTTCTGTTTGCCAGGAATAAACAATATTTCTGTATTTGGCTTTTGATAACACAGAGTATCAGCTCAAATGTACAGTATTTTCCCTTTGTTCTGTATCAAAAACTACTTACTCCATTTCATTCCTTCCCCTGATCCAAATAAGTTATTATAATGATAATATTTTGTGCTTATTCATACTCAATGTGTATAGAATATCTGTTATTCAGGCTACTTTATAGCATAATAATTACAAATTGGTCAAATAAGTGTAAAATGTTCAAATTGCTTCCTAATCAGAGTACAGGTTAATCAAATCTCAGGTTAATCATCTCTCTCTCTATCTTCAGGTATATGGACTTTTTTCCTACTCCATCTAACATTACAAGTGATTTTCTATTTGAAAAGAGTGCTAATTATTTCCATTCAGAAGATGCTCCCAAGCGAGCTGCATCTCTAGTCCCCAAAGCCAAGATCATCACAATCCTCATCGACCCTTCAGACAGGGCATACTCTTGGTACCAGGTATGAGCAATGAAAAACACTGCTGAAAGCATTTAGTTGTAGCTTGAATATAGGCAATGGTGAATCATGAAAATAAAAACCAGATACACTGAGATTCAAATATAAAAACACACATGTATACATATATATGTATTTGTTATACATATATTCATACACACATATATACACATATATAGTTGTATTTGTATAATGTATAAATATGCATATATTTATGACTATAAAAATTGAATATTTAACTCATACTATCAACTTGGACAAGGATTTTCAAGCATAAAATAATAGAAAAAAATCATATGTCAAAGAATTAATAAATTGCCCAAACTATACAATCATGTCAAATGTTGGTCTTTAAAAAATTAACAAAATTAAAAGTCAGTATGTAAAAAGGATAGCTTTAATAAATACAGGGTAAACAATTTATAAACAAAATTTATAGGTAATTCTTCCAAATCACTAAATAAAATGAACAGTATCAGTAATAAAATGAACAAAAGGCACAAACAGACAATTGTATACACGTACAACAGAAAATTGTATACACATTGCTCAACAGTTTATGGGAAAAATGATCAAACCAATTAGGTATCAATAAAATATAAATTAAAATGAAAGTTTTATAATATCTTGACAAGATTACTGATACTTCTGCTGGCAACAGTGTGATAATAAAGGTTGATAGCATTCCAAAAGAAAGGTACATTTGGGATATTTTCTGAAAACTTGTTTGGTAAGAGCATCAAAAGGTGTGTAAAGATCTTTTCAGTGTGATTCCTTTTTTGGGATTGAAGGTACAGAAAATTTCAAAGGTATGAACAAATATTTACATACATTGTAGCACTATCTATAATAATAGGAACAAATGAAAAGGTAAATGCCTGACAATATTGATTTGTGTCACACTGAAGTGGAATATTGTATGAGTATGTTTCATTATGGTTCTAATCAATAAAATGGTAATTAAAGAATTGTGTTTATTCTATTGTGTGAATAGGTACTAATCATAAAGATAAATAATTAAACATTGTGATTATGCTGTGAGGAAGTACGTAAAGGTGCTCCAAGAGAATTCTCTAGGGAAATGAACTACTTGGAACTGAATGATGAATACATAAGTAACTGTGTGAAGGGAGAAGGCAAATGGAGGAGAGGGAGAGGTATATGCAAAGTGCCCATGGTATATAGAACCATAGTACACAGAGGCACACCAGGGCTGCCATTTTTTTTTAGCAATTAAAAGCCTTTGCAAATAGTAATCAGTGTGTTACTACCAGATTTTCATTTAGAAAACATTATGTTATCTGCTATTTGAAGAATGGATTGGAGTATGACAAACGGTCATTCAGTGAAGTCAAACTAGAGGGTATTGCAATAGGCTTGCTGAAAAATAGTGGTATAAGTAGAAAGTGAAGGAAGTATAAAAATATTAATAGATGTTTGGAGATTAGAATCAATGAGCCTAAGAAGGAAGTATGAAGGATGAATCAAGTTTCCTTCCAATCTGGGAAACTACATGATGCCCATGCACTCCCATGCAAAAAGATGTCCTGAAGAAGGATACAGTAGATCTCCTGGTAGGGCAGGAGATGTGAGGCTAATGAAAAGAAAAGGATGATTATGACATATGGATTCTCATCTTAACAGAAAGGAACAGTATAATTTATTGGCATTATGGGGAAGGGGTCCCAGTTGGAGACAGAAATCTTTGAATCTGCCACATGAGCCATAATCACAAAAATAATGAAATGACCCAAGGAGACAGTTTAGAAATGAAAAGCACAGAGAAGATAAGGTATCAAAAGGGACAAAAAAATAACAGTCCCAGTGAAGAAATTCAGGAACATGGTGACCTAAAATTTAGGAGGAGACAGTGCTGCCAAATGCAGGTGGTGACACAGTGACAAAGAGCTGCTATGAAATTACACAATTGGGTAAAACAAGGCCTTAATTCTTTTCATTGATTTGAAAGATAAGGCAGGAGTTAAAGCCCCTAGCCACAGAGTGAAAAGAGAAAAACTAGATGGGTTTGGTTGTAGAATAATAAGCAGGGATGAAGGAATAGTAATAGCATTTGCAAGACTCAAAAATTGTGATTTTAAAGAGAAAAAACAAGGTGTTGTCTTACTATATAGGAGCTGAAGTGGGATCAAGGGAAACATAGTATGTGTTGTGTAGTGGTGGTGATTTGATTTAAGATAGAAAGTTTCCAAAGAAAAAGAAGTACAGGTAAGGAGAGAAAATGAGTAGTAAACCCTGTGAAGAACCAAGAAGTGATAGCCAAAGTAAATAGGTTAATGAATAAAAATACATTTTAAAAACATGAAATTAAACACATAGAATTTCTAAGGAAAAAACTATATTGAAATATATTTATCAGAATATTTTAAACTAGTAATAGTTTTATTTACTAAACCATTAATGACAAGTTCTAATGGCGAGTCAAACCACTGTAATATTGATGAGCATAGGCAACATTTTGATATATCTGAAACACCTATAATGTTATATAAAAATAACTGATTTTTGTTGGTGGCAAAATTACAGGTAAGATAATTAGTGTGTCTACTGTCATCATTCACAATTAAAGAAAATGTTAAATTTCATTTAGAGGTTGCTGAAAATAAAGAGCTTTTGTTGTTATTGTTGTTGTTGTTGATCCAAATTCATAGACCTCACTATATTCTATTAATGGGTCTCTGTCTAAAAATCTCTGGCATGAAACTTGAAGGATGTTGGAGAGGATGAATGTATGTGCTAGTAAATTCAGAAGCCTGGAGTAGAGAAATGGAAGACACTGTGATGGTCTGTCCTTTGGGAAATTAGAATAGTTTAATCTGATGAAAAGGAGACCAATAGATTAGGGAGCTTGCATTTTGAAGAGATGAATAAAAGGGGATATGAACTTGCACATGAGTGGGATAAAGCTGACCACAGAAATGTAAATTGTCTACAGGAATGATAACTTATTGAAATTGTTGATCTTGAATTGTGGTAACAGGGTATATATATTCCAAAATATCAACTATGTGAATGAATTTTGTGTATGTGTATGTTTAATAAATATGGAAATGAATGGGAAAATTAGGAAGATTTACTTAAAGAAAATTTAAGGGTATAAAAGAAAATTTAAGGGTATAAGACAAATAATTTCCATAAAAATTTTATTCTTCCTTTTTCTTGACTTTGCAAAATTTCTTCAATAATATGTATTACCAAGAATAAGTAACAAAAGCCAAAAATGTGACATTACAAATTGGCATTAAAAATAGTTGGGGATTTAAATAAAATGCTTGGATTAGAAGCAAGATTCATAAGTTACCATCAGAATCTTTGAATCAGTGTTCCCACAGGATACAAAAGTAAGTCTTTCTCAGTTTATGAAACTCATATTGCAAAGCAAGATAAATTTATTTTTTTAAAATAGTGCCAAAAACATTAAGATGCTAATCCTTAATTATAAGTTTTAAATATTTGGAGGAAATGTTGAGGATTTTCCTAGCAGAAAACATAGTCATTGCTTTTAGCAAATTAAAATAAATTTTTCACATAAATTAAACCATTTAAGTAAAATAGAATTTATATAATGTATGTCTTCTTTGTGCCTGCTTTTTCAAATAAATTCTTTGAACATACAGATTTGAAAGGAATTATTTTTTTCTGATAATACTTTTTATTGCCATATTGCTGAGAGCAGGGCCCCAAAGTGTTCCACACTTCAAAATAATGTAGCCTATTACTTAGCTAGTCCTGTCTATTCAGTAAATACCATAAATCCAAAGCTCAGCAGGTATAATTCAGAAACTCCTACAAATGTCACCTGCCACTGTAATTTCTACCCCATATTTTTATAATGGACCTCACAGAGAACTAAAGTGCTATTTTTGCCATAAAATATGTCCCTTTGTGACTTCCAGGTCATATTTTTATGCTAATCTTAGTCACAGGAATATGAAGAAAAGTTAGTGCTAAACTGGTATAAATCAATACAGAACAGATTAAGTACACTTCCTGATTATCACTGTTTATAATAGAAATTTTAGTGTTACTGTCCTGCATTCATATGCCTACGGCTTATTTATAATTCTTTATTCATATGATCTAATTTCTATACATTTTGTTTATTGAATGAACTATAAAATTTCTGTATTCTCAGCATAGTGAATGTACATCTAGGAAGGACAATGTATATACAATAATTAGGGGGATTTTATTAGTCCCACCAATTTTCCACTCACTAGTTACTCTTGAACTATTCCCCACTTCCTAAATCATCTTTACTCTTTTAGTTGTTCTATTTCTAACTCAAATATAAGGCTTATTACTCACATATGGGGTCTGCTATTACACAATCATATCAGATTCCATTATATTTTCATCCTTAGCCTTACTAGATTTTCTTCATATTCACTTTTAGATATCTCACACCACCAAATCATTTATCCCTACACGCATCATCCACCTTCACTCTAACTTACCTTATATGATAAAGTTCTCTTAGTTCCTATGTTCGTTTATTTCGGATTATCAATATCTTTCTTGTAACATATTAACTTAAAAGTTTCAGCCATTGAAAAATGTTCTTTTATCTGTCATCAAAATTAACCCCTTATTGGCTTGGCTGTCACCACAAGTAACTTATACTGCTAGTCAAATACATGACTTTGTTACAATCTAGTACTCTATTGACTCCCACACTAGATTTGATTTCTTTGAAGATAATGGTTCTAGGTTATATCTTTTTATCTCAGGAACCTATTGCTGTTCTTTGTTCTAGAAAGATGCATAATAAATGCTTGTGAAATTGTATTGACTGAGAAATTCATCTCTCTTTGAGTTGGGCTCTTTCCTGCTCGACCAATGAAAGTTTGGTATAAAAGACTAAGAGAATTTTGTACTGAAAAAGTAGGAGTGAAGTAGTACTTGGGAATTAGCAGTGTTAGTTGGAAACCCATAGGAGAATGAAAGAACCTTGATTAACATCAACATGAATCTGAAACCTAAACAAACATGATAAATAGATATCTGCCTTCTCCACAGCACCAGCCATACTGAGAAATGGGAACGTTAGACCCTGGAGGAGCAGCTATAATGAAATAGTGGGCTCTGTAATATGTAAGCCCACTCTTGCCCATCTGAATCTCATTTTATCAGACTTGATTTGTCTTGTCCCTGATACTTTTTCTCTCCTAATCAGATCCACACAGAAAATTCTTGTACTCTGTCTCTGCTTTTCAACTAAACATCTTAGACATGCACATAACCACAAGCTCTCTGCATATCACCTGATGTGTAGTGAAGGCTGGTATTTTACAATAAGCAATGTGCCAGTGCCTATTTTAATAAATGTAGTTTTGACCATATTTTTCATTCTATAATCAAGTACCTTTATTATTTTGTGATATGAAAGACACACACATCTCACACGTGCACACACTCATTTATATAGCTACAGAAACATTTTGAAAAACTAACAACTGACTTTTTGTTTAAAGCACCAACGATCACATGAAGATCCAGCTGCCCTGAGATTTAATTTCTATGAAGTTATTACAACAGGATATTGGGCCCCATCTGACTTAAAAACTTTGCAGAGGAGATGCCTAGTACCTGGATGGTATGCCGTCCACATAGAAAGATGGCTAACTTACTTTGCAACTTCTCAGGTAATGTCCTGATATTAATTTCCTCTGTTAATTACATCATGATTGTGTTTCACTGACAAACAGAAAAATGTGAACAAACATTGCCAGGGATAGAAATTTATTGTCAAAGAAAATTGTATGTAAAGACGAAATGTGAATTTTTATTTTTAATTTCACTATTACTATTAAAATTCTATTAAATGACTCTGAAACACATTCCTAGGATCCTCTTTTGAATAGTAGCTGGTTTCACAATGGTAAGTTCTCCCAAAGGAATTTCGTATGATTCACAGGCAACACCTTTCAACTACTAGTAGAACTGACAGTTAATTTGTGGATTTCCTTATAAGGACAGAAGGAGCTCATGCACTAGACCACCACAATACAAAGTACTGCAGCATTTCCCGGAGTATATAATATAGCCCAAAATAAGGATTTCAGGAAATATCCATATTCTTATAGTTTTCATTCCAGATCAGGGCATAATTGAAGGCCCAGAGAATGGACTTCAGCAATGACATGTTTTTCTTTTCTTTTTAAACATTCCTTTGGTAAATCTGATCTTCTAGAACAGTAAATGAAGGTCATAAAGACAAGAACAAACATCTTCCTCCACCATCTTGTCATGGTTTATAACACTAGATGGATCTTTTTGATCTGGATGACCAGTAGTTCTGTCTTTGACTCCAGGTTTGCCCGTATGAGATTTGGTAGTCGGGATGCTTATCTAATTACACTACAGATGGAAATATTCTGTTCTCACTGAAGTACTAACTCAAGAGAGTGTGTGTATTTCTGACTTAGAAGAAAGTAAGTGAAGGACTATCACTTAAGAACTCCCAAAAAATAATCCCCTATGGCAAACTTTAATTATTGTTAATTGAAAGGATGCAAGAAGAGCAAACATTAAAATGTGTTCTAAGTAGTTCATGTTTTCTTCCTATTCATACTGACCTAATTTATTAATGTCATACCAGGTCAAGGGAAGCAGCACAGTCTATTCAATTTAGTTTTGTTCTTCATAAAGTGACTATTTTTGACTTTACAGTTGCTAATTATTGATGGACAGCAGCTGAGATCTGACCCAGCTACTGTGATGGATGAAGTTCAGAAGTTTCTGGGAGTTACACCTCATTACAATTACTCTGAAGCACTAACGTGAGTTTATTCTCATGCTTGATTTCATTTCCATTATTTGCCATCATAAATTATCACTGGTAGGTGTGTATATAGCACCATTAATACTAGCTATGAATTTATACATCATTTTGCCACTCAAAAGCAGTCAAAGAAATATCTTCATTACTCATGTAGTGTCTCCCTTTTGAATGCCAGGAATACTTTATCTTATAGAGTATTATAGGTATTTCATATTATGATGAATGAATCCCCCTATTTTGGAGCTTTTCCCTAGTACCAGTTTGGTTAACTAAACTTTTCACAAGTCTACTCTATGCAGAAAGTATCCTAGAAATTGAAGCTACAAAGATGAGAAATATATTCTCTTCCTCTGAGTAATTTACAAGTTAGAAATGAAATATCGATGGACATCTTTCCTTCTGTGAAAGTGCCCAGCCCCAAATTGGGAATGAAGTACATTCATGTTTTATTCTGTATTTACTAAAATATTTACAAATAAATGAAAGCATGTATCATACTCCAGCTGTCCATTGTTGCATCTCCAAAACTACTGGCATGAATTAACAGCTATTTTAGGACACTTATGGATTCTGTAGCTCACCAATTAGTCAGGCACAGCTGGGATAGCTTGTTTTACTCATTATCTCAGGTCACATCTGGGAGGACTTGAGTATTTCAATATGACCCAAATGGCTGAGGACTGAAATCATTGGGAGGCTTCTCCATCCACATACTTGGACTGGGATGGCTCAAAGGCTGTGCTCAGTAGGCTGAAGATTCCACGTGGCCTCTCCTGGTACTCAGCTTTCTCACAGTGGCTGTGTTCCAGGAGGGAGTGAAATGTTGAGGAAGCTGTGGTGCAAGAGAGTCATAGACTTCTCTGACCTAGACTTGCAAGTCACAGGACATTGCTTATGCTGCCTTCTGATGGTTACTGTGGTCACTAAGGCCAGTCCAAATTTAAGAAAGGAAAATGAGATTCCACCTCTTAATAAGGAAAGACAAGGTCATGCTACAGAAGAGCATGTGGGATGGAAGATTTTGTTACAGTCATCTTGGGAAAATAAACCCATATATTAAGGTAATTTCAAATGGGCAAGGAGGAATATAAACCAAAATAAAAACCAAAATAAAATCTCCAAGAAGCCAAAACATATTTTAAAAGGGCATGGACTTTGCTCATAAACATTCCCCCCACAAAGTCAGATACAAAGTCTATTAAATTTTACACAAAATTCTAACAAGCCTGATTATGTAATTTCCCAGTTCACAGCAGATTAGAATCAGCAATTAGACAATTAGAGAGGGTAATGGAGGGACAGGAAAAGCAGTAATAAGATTTGGTTGTTCCTTATCCACTAAAATAACCCTAATGAAGTTTTTACCTACACATGGAAATAGCAACAAAACAAGGCATGCCCCTGTTGATTTAGTAGACAATCTTCTTATAATATGTTTTGCATTAATAGTTATTGATGCTGACATACCTTCCCTGCTCCTCAGTATTAGTTTAGGCAACGCTTCTATCCTGTTTACTACAAATAGTTGCTCGTGGTTCAATAAACCTGTAAAATCATACTTTTGGGAGGAAAATTATAAGCAACATAAAATGGGAATTTTGATATCTCTCACATATCATAAAATTAATAACTAGAGTGATATTAAGTGTAATAAAGAAAGTCAAGTGTCAACCAACTCATCTTCTAAAAGTTGACTAACAGTTATTTGAGAAACATTTTCCATCTTAATTTCACAATTTCATGCCTACTCAAGTAAAACAATGAATTGATACAACTTAGGGAAGATAAATAGCCTTTGTTAGATTTAGGATATACACAGTTGCCAATACAATAAATGAGAACAGGACAGCAAAATGACGTGGATTTAAGGTTATGTCTATCCTTTTTAAAAAACTTTCAATACTCTAGACTTGCAATATTTTAAATGGCTCTTCTTGCTCAGGTTGTACTAAGCTCTGCTTCACATGGTTGCTGCAGAGAGCAAGGAGAGACTACAGTCCACCCTGAGTTCTCCACACTACCTGAGAGCAAAGGAGAGATGCTCAGTGTGTGTATAAATATCTCAGCTTTGTTGCCAGTGCTGTATTTTACCTTAACACAGTTAAATATTCTCATCCTGAGGCAGAAAATGCTGTTTGGGGCACTGTTATGCCGACTTCCCCATCTCATTTTGCACATCATGCTGAATTGTTTTTCCTCTTGGGAAATTAATGAAAACTGGAGAAAGGACTGTGATAGGCAGGGAGCAGATTGAAAAGTTCAGGTTGGAAATGACTCTGTCTTCCTTTTATCCATTTAACTAGTGATGTATTTAATTTTAATTGATAACATGTACTAGGACAACTTGGACTGCAAAGATCAGGTCTCTAATAACAGGCTGGGCAGAGAACTGTGAAGAAATTTCCTTCTCACCCTAAATGAGTTCACATATGTGCAGACGCAAATTGCAGGTGTACCGGTATTATAGGAATGGGCCCAGGGCAACAAAATATTCCGCAACTAATTAACTTTACATCCCAGTCAATTATGCTTCATCCTTCTAAAACATCTGCTGAGCAACAAAAAATGCAAACCTTTTCAATGTTTTATGCATGCGGCAAGTCCCATAGCAATAAATTTAAAATTTCCCTGCTTATTTGGTTCATTCTTTCATTTTCCCTATCTTGTTAGTCCTAAACAAAAATTCTTATACATTTCACTTTAAACAAAATAATTAGGCCACACATCCTTCCTTTTGTAACTTGGTGCAGCCATGGAAGCAAAACAACATTAGAATTTCCTTTAAGAGTGTAGGAACCTTAATCATCCAATAGGATTATCTGCCTTCAACAAAAAGAAAGAAGAGCTGTGTAATCTTTCACTCACCATTTGTATTGCCGGTATCTCATGTTGTCTAACAACAATATAATTTCCTTTTTTTAAAGTGAAAACATTTAAACTATTAAACAAAATGAAGCGTTTTCCAAGTTGGAAAGTTTAATTATAATTGTATTCAGAGTCATATGCCTACATTACATTTAGGTTTTTTTAATATACATCATAGAATGATTTCAAAGAAATGTGTGTGTGTGTGTGTGTGTGTGTGTGTGTGTATGCATGTGTATGAATGATTGAACTCAGGGACACTCAACCACTGAACCACATCCTCAGCCCTATTTTATTTAGAGACAGGGTCTTACTGAGTTGCTAGCACCTTACCATTGCTGAAGCTGGCTTTGAATTCCTGATCCTCCTGCTTCAGCCTCCCAAGCCACTGGGATTACAAGTGTGCACTACCATGCCCTGCAGTGTCAACATATTTTGTCAGTGATCATAAGCAGATAAAATATCCTAAAGGTACTTTATATAGGGAATGTGATTTTGATGTTGGTCCCTGATTTTATATAGAGTCATAAGTAAAATATAGAATATAACAATTTCAATGTCAAATTGGACTGAAGGCATTACTTAAAATGTATACTAATAGTTTCTTTTATCTCAATGTCCCCTCTCAAATCAGCCGAATCTGTGGAAACTAATTAAGTCAAAACAATGGGCATGAAAAACTACATTTTCTTTATTTAATTGGTGAGGCTCTCTCACTGAAAATTCCATATACAGTTTATAATCTTTAAATGTTTCATCTAATATAGGTTTGATCCCCAGAAGGGCTTTTGGTGTCAACTACTGGAAGGAGGAAAGACCAAATGCCTTGGAAAAAGCAAAGGCCGAAAATATCCACCCATGGATCCAGAGGTAATATTCTCCTAATATGAACTGCTATAGCAAAAAATCTGTTTATACAGCTATTTCAAAATTAGTAACAGAGATATGCTCCCATATTCTGATCTTTTTTTTACATCAGTAGTTTATACATTTAGAAGATGAGAGAGATAACTAGATAGACAAAGGGTTGATCAATATCCCTATAGATTGTTTCCTATTGGAATGCAATTCAAACTTAAATATTTTCCTTTTCAAATGTGTGAAAAACTTGTTTAGCAAACAAGTGATTTTTACATAAAATATAGAAAGATCATTCTTGTACATTTAAGACACTTATCCAGCCCCTGCACTATGACTGATCCTGAACTAAGCAATGGAGAGGATACACATATAAAATAATTATGAACCCACATTTATTAGAGGATAGAGAAATTAGTTTTGGTCACAGATTTACAATAAGATAACAATGACAAACTAAATTCCAAAAAGACCAAAAAAAAAAAAGAAGAAGAAGAAAAAGAAAAAGAAAATCTCAATAGAAGTAAAGTGTTAGTGTTATTCTAGGGATGGGAAACCAACAGCAATTGACTCAGGTATCCTGAGTATATCTCTGAAGGCAAGGTGAGCAAAGGGAGGACGCCAGTGATGCACGTGTTACTATGGAGACAGAAGTACCAGAAAGTCCTTCAACTGTATCTCTGAACTCAATAATTTCAAAAGGATTTCAGAAATCACTTTAATCTGCCAAAAATCAATGTACTGTTCCCACTACTGCTATAAACATCCAAATTTGAAGTGTTTACACTCTGGTTTAAGGGTAGAAATGCAACGAAAGGCCTGGTGAATGGTCCAAGATGCAATGTAGTTGTCTTAAATCCATTTCCACAGTACATACAAAAGTCTCCAGGCAGTTTTATGAAGAAAGTGACCCATTCGTGTTATAATATTGGGGAGAGCTTGAAAGAGATGGTAGAACTTTTTCATGTCAGATAGACAAACTATGTGTGGGCCATTGCCACCTATACTTACATGGGAAAAGTGTTCAATTCCGCTGATTTGCTGAAGATTCACAGAACTATGTAAACTGGGTTATAATATGAAGGAAGAGACATCAAGAAAAAAAAAGAAAGAGACATCAAGAAAGAAAGGCTAATTACAAATTTTCTGTTTTCCAGAAGTTTGTGTAAATAAAAGTGAACCATGAAACTAAAACCATTGATATATTTTAGCCTTAATTTTTACCATTTATCTAATAAAGGCCAATCTCTCCAGTTTGACAAGTAATATAAGAATTTTTTAAAGACCCACTTCAGAGATCTTATGGTATTTTGAAAGTAGAAAGCTCTTAATGATTAAAACCATCTATATTTGATCTGAATAACTATAGAAAAATTTTCTGTAATGTGGTAAATTATTTTTTGCAATCATGGATTTCAGTTTTTGCGATTATTTGTGCTTACTTTTAATTTTTATTCTATGCTGCAATTTTTAAAAGAAGAGTTATAATATGTTTTGCATTAACTTCTATATATTTGCTTCCTCACCAGGTACCTACCTATTCTTCTCTAGTATTATACTTTTGTTCTCACTTTTTTCTCTGTGGGATCATCATGGATCCCACAATAAATATGTATTATAATGATAGATAAGTCACTTAGCACACACCTGGACCTATTTTTTTTTTATTTTTCAGCTATTCTTTTTCCAAATTTTTCTAAAAGACTAAAATGAGCGATGTTTGAGGAAAAAAATAAGGTAGTTTGTAAACATCTCTATCATAACAGAATTTCTTAAGAAATACAGGTTTCATAATCTGGTTTGAGAATATGATAAATGCTTTCAATCTTTTTTTTCTTTTTTCTTTCCAGTCTAGAACTTTCCTCTCTAATTACTACCGAGATCATAATGTGGAACTGTCCAAATTGCTACATAGACTGGGGCAGCCTCTGCCATCGTGGCTAAGACAGGAGCTACAGAAAGTGAGATAGCACTGGAGACAAGAATCATGCCTCTCAAGATATTTACTTTACTATTAAGTAGAAAAAACAAACCCCACAACTTTTACCCCTTGTTGCATTTGTGATTGTCAACAGAGGACTATATGAATAAATTTCCTTCAATCTTTTTCATAAAATGAAAACTGTTATATATGCACGTATTGGCAGTTACTAGCACCAATCCCTATGTAAGCTCTTCAGAAAAAAAATTGTGGGGTTTTGTGGTATTACCAGTTTCTAGTGTGGGGACTATCATACAGCTCAATTCCTCTGTTAACTAATTTTCAGAAACTGTGTATGACTGCTAATGCTGATTATATGCAAAGAACCTATTAAAATTTTAAGGAAAAGATAAGGACTGAGGTGTTTGTAAATTAGGTTAGTGGTAACCCAATAGCTGAATAAAGGGCTAACATTTTCCCTTAATTTACAAATAATTTGGGTTTTTTAAAAAGAAATTATAATATCACACACATTTATTTTTGAATAATTTTCATTTACTTTATTTAGCCCACATATATTTTTCTCTGTTTACTTTCCTTTATGAATTTCCTTGACTTCCTAAAGAAGTTGTGAAGTTGTACCCTGCCATATTTTTTGTGTCTTTTCATCTTGTAAAAGGGGCCTATTTGAAAAGTTCTGTATTCACAGATATCACTGGTTCGTCAAACAGGAGAGACCATTCTCAGTGAACCTGACATTGTGGTTCCACTAAAATCTATTGGAGAGTTTCAGGGGGGAATTAAAAAGGGGGCGGGGGTACCTGTATAACATCACTATTATGTGAAAGGCCATCTTGAAATGGGTCCAGAAATCTTAGCCTACAGCATATTAATCCATATAATTTCACTTTGACAATGATGAAGTAGTTATATATATATTTTTTCACTATGGAAGAAAAAATTTTATTGATAATTCTGGAATGAAAACACCAAGTTGTATTTGCAGGTATAGTGAGGCATTGTGCCTTCTATATAGTATATGTCAATCTTTTTAAAGCATGAATTTTTCTTATATGCAAGTATATCTACAATTGTAGAAGATTATGTTTTTAATGTCTATTTTAAGAAAGAAATATAGTCTAAAACTTACCTCTTTAAGCATCACTAATTCTCTAACTTGAACCTAATTACTCACTCATGTCACCCAAAAATCAATTTCTAGAAAAGAGGTAATCTTTCTGTCTTGGAATTATAAGGTCCTATCATATTTGGAGGTTATTATCATGCTAGTGGGATTTTTATCCCATTTGTCAATGATGATATATTAAGGCTTGGTTAATCTTTTCCATGATACATGAAGGTAAAATTTCAACAGAACAGTAAATCAAACTGACTCTGGTATTATTACCCATCAATCCATCCTTCCCCCAGAGTAATTTTTCAAAGACTGTAAATAATACTAATTTTCCCTATAATATGAGAAATTGTGTTTGCCTAATTCAGTAGTAAAATGAAGGTCTATGTCTTTGTTTTTCTGTATTTTGTTTGTTTTATTTTAAGCAAGCAAATCAAATTTGGGCATTTTAAAAGAGAATCAGGGTTTTTACATATTTTATTTCAGAATCCAACTTTGTGTTTATGTTTCATTGTGGTTTTTATTTGTTTTCTTTAGCAAAGAAAGTTCTTGATCTTTTTTTATTCAGAAAAATGTAAGATTTTTTTTTCATAGGTACAAGTTGATATAAATGACAGTGACTCTGGTGGTTCCACTGTTAGATGAGCAGCTCCAACTCACCTTGTTACTTAGGCAGGTCTGTGCTTCACAGCATCCTTTAAGAACACTTAAATAAGAGTAATTGGGTATTTCTGACTTTCAATTATTTGTATACTAGCCTCCTCTTGTGTATATTCTAATTCTTTCTTAAGATTAACTCCTTTTTTGCCCAGTAGAATAAAAGAGATAGTGATAGGATGGAGGGCAGATATTTTTCAAGTGAAATTGACAAACCTCAGGATACTCCAGCACATCATCAGATTTTTAAAAAATGTAACCCATTTTCTGAATTTTCTCCTTGTTTTCTAAATAATGCATACAATTTAATTTATCTAGTTACAAATATCTGAAAGCAAAAATTTCCCAAATGTGACTGTCCTCTTCTCTCCTGGTTATTTCAATCAGTGTGTACATTTTTCTTATTAAGTATGATAACGAAGACAACAAAATATATTTCAATTACATAATTCATCTGCATCTGACAATAAACTACTTGGGACTCTGGATTATAAGATTTGGTACCACAGTAAATCAGGAAAATCTGTATCTTGTGCTCGGCACAGGGGAACACACCTATTTTAAGAAAGAAAGTCTAAAGCTTATGTCTTCAAACATCACTAATTCTCTAACTTGAACCCAATTACTCAGTCATATCACCAAAAAATCAATTTCTAGAGAAGAGGTCATCTTTCTGTCTTGAATTATAAGGTCCTATCATATTTGGAGGTTATTAACATGCTAGTAGATATTACATCCTGGTAGTAGACCTGTTTCAACTATTCACTCTGGAGGTTGAGACAGGAGGATCCCTTGTCCTGAGGAGTTTGAGGCCAGCCTGGGTAACATAGTGAGTCCCCATCTCAACAATAACAACAATAACAAAAGAATATCCTTATTTATATCCAGAATAATTGATTCAATATTTAATATATGTAATTCTTTAAAAATTTAAATTAAATTCTATTTCCTGGTCGTAAATGAAGTAATTTTTAAAAATTTAAAAATACTTCCTGAAGCCTTTGAGCATACTAATTTCTTCTGATTTCTTCATGTCTTTGCTCAAGTTGCCTCTCAAATATAATTATTAGTTACTTTGATAAAGGCAATAACAATACTTCATTCTAATTCTTCATCAAAATATTATATATGTTTGTCAAATACTCATCCCTAGAATTCTATTTTATGAGAAGTCATCCAAAATCAATTTATTTTTGTATTTAACAATGACTCAAATGTAATTAAATATACAACAAGGAAGAGCACTAGTACACTTTCTATCACTGTATTTTTTGTTAAAAAATACAACTTTTAGTTTAATGACAGATTTTATTTGCCTGGATTTTAACACGCATATCTTACATTAATTTTACATAGTTTTGTTTTTCTCTCTCACAGTTTTAATGTAATATAAAGTGACCTATTTACTATGAGTAATAATTTATTTTTAGTTATAGACAAAAATATAAATAGACATATTTATAGTAGAAATATATCTTAAAAGTTCTATTTCTGGTAGCTAGATAATATTAATTATTTGTTTGATGGAAGTCCCTCAAAAACAATAATGCTTAATGATTTCAAAAAGAAAAAAAAAACTGGTAGTCTTGCAAATAGGACTGTTTTGTTTTTTTAATCAACTATAGGAATACAACTTAGACATGAAAATACACATATTTTTAAATATATATGCATTATGCAAATGTACATATGCATATATGTTATGTCTGAGAAATTTCAACTAGTTTTTGACCACCCAAATTCCATTTTCCACGTCTGCCAATGAGAAAGGTGGGAAAAGCATAGAGAAACTGTCTTTACTGGAATGTAAACTGTTAAAGTAACTGATGTAGTATGTGCATAACAGGTCACTGGTTCTCTTTTCTTCAGAATAAACACTACTGTTGGTATGGCCACTAGAGTAATGTTTTAAATTCCTCTGAAACCCAAGGGTTCAATCAATAGCTGATTGTTTTCCTTTCTTTATCTTTGTTCTCTAAATTCTAAACATAAAATAAGTACAACCAGGTTTGAGAATGTGTTTCAAACTCTGAGCTCTCATCCCAGTTCTACCTCTCACTAATTGCATGACCTTAGACAGTTGGTGGGACTTCCCTGGGTCATAGTTTCTTTTTCCATAAAATGGAGAAAACAAAATAATTACACATAGGCTTCTTGTAGATAGGAAATGAGAACATATTTAAATAACAGTACAAAGCCTGATGTTGTGCCAAAACATATTAGTTACAAAAATAATGTAGAGCCAACAAAGTACTCTCTTTTTTCATCAAACAGAAATTTTATTCTACCCCCCTTAGTAAAAACACATATATAAATTAAACATATCATTGTATTTGGTCACAATGATAAACTGTCTTTCAAATCACAAGGCAAAAACAAGTTTTTTATTTCTCCCTTCAGCTGCTTTGATAATCAACATTCACAGCAAGGTAATTCCATCTTAATTCATCCTATTGAAGTCTCTTTATTCCTTTCCCCCCTATCTATTTTTTGTTAGTTATTCACTAGATTATCTGTACCTATTGAAAAGTATTAAATCTAATGCGCTAACTCCCTCAAACCAATGAAAAATGTAATGGAAACATTAATAAAAATATGGAAGCAAAACTTAATAGAAGTGTATGTGTCCTATGGAGACTTATATGTATATTGGAAGCATATACAACAAAGTATGCTACCAATGTTTAGGTATTAAAAATTAGAAGAAAATTTCTCTCAATTCTCCATAAATCTTTATCTCTAATTTCACCTTCTTCTTTCCAGAAATGAAGACGTTTTATTCTTTTTAAATGCTCTGTACTTATTAATATCAATATAGTTATTTCTGCATTCTCCCATGACAAATACACAGTATTCCACGCCTGAAATTAAATATTCATATAAATAATTAATTTTCGTTTGTTATGGTTTGGATATCTGGTGTCCCTCAAAAGTTCCTGTGCGAGACAATGCAAGAACATTCAGGTGAAATGATTATATTATGAGAGTTGTAACCTAATCAATGATTCAGTTGACTGATATAGATTAACTGGGTAGTAACTGCAGGCAGGTAAGGTGTGACTAGAGGAGGTGGATCACTGGGGTCATGCCTTTGGGGTTAATATTTTGTCCCTGGTAAACAGAGCTATATCTCTGTTTCCTGATGGCTAAGTCCTGAGCTGTCTTCTTCCTTCACACCCTTCCACCACGCTGTTCTGCCTCATCTCTGGTGCAGAGCAATGGAATTGGACATCAGATCCTGAGTCCCTGAAACTGTAAATTAAAAATAAACATTTCCTCCTCTAAAATCTTCTTGGCAGGTCTTT